CAAGACAGAAATCCTGTGCATCTGAAAGATGAGGATGGCTGGGGCTAAACCATCACCGATGTTCAGACCCAAGCATTCAGGATACCAGAGCCGGAACCACTTCTTGATCCTCTCCAGAGGCCCTGGGAGTCAAGCCCATATTCTGGAAACTGGGAAAGAGGATGACTAAAGAACAGTAAGTACAGACTTGGTGCCAGAATGCTGGGTTCTGAGACCTGAGGCACATTCCTCAAGGCCTCTGGGCCTGTTTTCCTAATGCTACAGTGGCGAGAAAATACCACTGGGGTACTACATACATAAATACACACACCCACACCCACAATGTGGCAAGCATGGTGCGTGTGTGTCATAAAGGTGAGCTATAAATGCCCTCATCGCTGTTGTTTCTCTTTGGTGAGCTGACCACCCACTCCCAACCACTAGTCCAGACAATTACAAATGACCCCTGAAACATAAAAGTTTTTCTCTAAACCCTCTCCCATCTTCCGGTACCATTTGTTGAGTTGGGTAGGGCAATCGGGACCTCCATCCTACAGAAAAGGAAGACTGAGAGCCAGAGAGGTTAAGAAACTAGAAAAAGAGGCACAGGATTGAGGCAGGAGCAGGAATTCCAGCCCAGCATTGATCTTTAGCAGGTTCTAGCCAAGAGGAGACAGGAGGGAATAGGAACAAAGGGCGAGTACTTCTGAGTGCTGGAACCCAGTGGCACAGGGCCTCTCTGGAACCCGTCATAGCAGGGCAGGGGTGAGATGGCCCTTGGCTAGCACTTGGGAGCCTTATCCCAAATGGTGTGGAACCTGGGAAGACGGTCCGGGTTCTGTGATACATCTATGCAGGCAGCAGGCAGTTGGAAGGGATGACCCTTTGACAGCTCAGTCTGAAGTCAAGAGTCTTCGAGTCAGGGTCACTTTGTAAACAAGAGCTGTGGGGTTTAATTAGGGTCCCTAAAGAATCCTTCCTACAGGCAAGTGTAATGTGGAGGATCCTTGGTGGTATCGGAGCTGGACTGAGGGTCTCAGTTCTCTGGCTCAGGCCTGTGCTTCTTGGGGCTAAAGTGTCTTGTGGTGGTGCCCCTGTGAACACAGCTGGCCAACCCCTCCCCTCCCCACTCCCTGCCCAAAGCAGGCTCCAGAGGCTGGGGGGGCAAGTCCGTCTCTTGTTCACGTGGAATCCCCAGAACACAGAATACAGTGTAAATATCAATAAGGGTTGAGTGCAATAATAAATTTAATTTGTCAACTTATTTTATTTTTAAAGGTGTGTAAGTTTCATGAAGGAGCCCTGGTGGCACTGTGGTTAAGTGTTTGGCTGCTAACCAAAAGGTTGGCAGTTCGAATCCACCAGCTGCTCCTTGGAAACCCTCTGTGGCAGTTCTACCTTGTCCTATAGGGTCTCTATGAGTTGGAATCAACTTGACGGCAATGGTTTGTTTTGTTTTGGAAGGTTCATAAAAAAGAGTTTATACTGAGTTTTAGTAACGTACATATTTGAGTAGTAGTATAAAATAAGCCTTTCATACCAAAATTTGTACTTGAATGCTTGTTGTAGTATTATTCATGATGGCCAAAAAGTTCAAACAACCCAAATGTCATCAACTGATGAATAGATAAACAAAAAGTGATCTATCCATACAGTGGAATATTATCAGTCATAAAAAGGAACAAAATCCTGACACAAGCTATGCCACAGATGAACCTTGAAAACATTATGCTCAGTGAAAGAAGTCAGATACAAATGAGTACATGCTGTATAATTCCACTTGTATGAAATGTCCAGAATAACAAAGCCCAGAGACAGAGAGGAGATTTGTGGCAGCTAGGGGCTGAGGGGAAGGTGTTGAGGGAATACGGGGAGTGATTGCTAATGCGTACAGGGTTTCATTTTGAGGTAACAAAAATGTTCTGGAATTGAATAGTGGTAATGGTTGATAATTT